ACAGACATGTGATATGTGTTGAGTATTGTTGTATGCAGCGACTAGTCGGAGAATGTGATTGACCTAATTGATGTCTTGCTTACTGTCATTTAAGTGAACATGTTAGCCACTAAGCGAATGCTATGCTGTTTCAATCAGGCGGATCAGACAATCGGATTTGGGTAGGCATCTTATCAACGTTTGCAGCACACAAATAGTGGGACAGGTAGACAAATGGTGTAAGCTGTCATACGTTTCGATTTTGATTGTGACCGCTGTTGGCGAAGACCTGCTCTTTGTACTACCTAAAATTGGGTGACAGGAGTAGGAGTTTCAGGGGTTTGTCACAGGTGAAGTTTCAGACAAGTGGAGACAGATGCGAGATAGAATCGTCTCACATAGGAAAGATAGGTTTGTGGTCACAGAGATTGAATTTGTCAACAACTCTATTTTATCAGAGTTGAACGAGGATGTTTGTAGGCGTAAAGAAGATAGGATGTAAGCCATGTGAGATACTGACCCGGTTCTATCGCTACCCATAGATATCAACCAAGACTAGTCCGAAGTAAGCGGTGGAATTCATGTAACAGGCGAGTGGGAGAAACAATTAGTATATATAGATGAGTGTATATTGTGGAGTGAGGTCGAATCAGTGCCTATGAGTCTATGTGAATGGAATAACAATTGTTTGCCAAAGACAATTCACCCTAGGTTTCGAAAAGCTGTGTCATCCTTGTGAGGGTAGCGTAGCATTTCTCAGATGGTCTACGCGTCAACTTAACTGTATCTGATGTGGAGGCGTGAGTAGCAAATATGTGGTCTGCATTAGGGTTAGTAGAGGCTGTTGAAGATCAGTAATTTTAGTCTTCACAATTCACGTGTTCACACACAGATATATGTGTGCATAGATACATGTCGGATTGTGTTCTTTGATCTGACAAGGTCCGATAAGGCTGCCTGACATTCGTTGATATCTGTGGATCAGGCATATATTTGTGAATACAAACACTTGTAGAATGGATTATTTTGTGACGCAGGTTATCGGTTTTCTGTTGCGATTCAATGAGGATCTGTCGTGTGACTAGGGAGAGTGCCTCAAAGTTTTTAGGCTAAGAATGATTTGACAGTTGGAGACTTTCGTTACGAGATATCCGGGAGATGTAGAAGAAGAAGGAACTGAAGTGTGCACTTTTAAAATCTAATGTTACAGGGTGGAGGGAGGCAGAGATTGATAACAGAATCTTTGTCTATCGAATCAGGTGCAGATCAACACGTTTAATAGGAATGATTCAACACCTGTCACAGATATGTGGGAAATTCTACTACCCGTTAGACAAACAGGAGATGAAAAAGAAAACTATAAAACTCAAGTTTCGAAGTCGTTTGATTATAATTGATAGGATTATGAACAATAAATTTTGTTCGAAACGTCATCTATTAAATAATACTGTTTCACTGACTGGGTGTGATGCATCTAATAAACAAACTTTTGTGGTTGGAATGTCATGTGAGCAAGGTCATTTATTGTTTATTTAAGTAATAGACACACAAGATGGACTGTGAGTCATAACGGACTAACAACGATCAATAGACAAAGCAAAATGTATCAGACTGACAAAACACGGAAGATATCATTTGACAGCACCACCGAAACCCTAATTACTGTACAAAGGTGTGATGTAGATTATTGTTTTATGAACAATAATGGTGTATTTAATGAAAACGACACGGGTTGAAAATTCATCCTGATCAGTAGATGAATTAATCTGATGTAATGCCCTGAGGCGTCTTTTACCTACGGGGCCTGACTGCCTGTTCTGCTTCACTTGCCACCAGTGTTAGCCAGTGTGTCATAGTGTGTGTGTGTGTGCGTCCTTCTTCATTATTCTTCAAATTCAATGCAGTTTAGATTCCAGTGAACTCAGCTTCTCCTTCTGTTGCCCATCTTTGCATTCAATAGCCATCTTCGCTTTCACCATCCTGCTCTCCTGGGAGTTGCATCCGTATTAAGGTTTCCTAGTACCGGTTACGAACCACGACAAAGTAAATAGGGATGTGTACAGACTGTTTATCATTCCTCTTTCGCAGAGTGAAGAAGTAGTATAACTGGTATGCTGGTTGTCTTAGGGAAACACCCGACCGGTTTCTATATCCCTATTCGCCTACATTAAAACCTTTTTCCACAGATCCTGAACACAATGTGACCACTTAATACTATAGTGGTAAATGGTTTTAGTTTTTCTTTTATTCTTTTTTACGTGTGACCAGAAAATGAAATCAAATTGGGTTGATCAGTTGATATTACTGTATAACGAACACTGTGTGTGATTTATCAAAATAAAATCTTATCTATAATGGAATTATACACTACCACAGCGCCAGAGTATTATACTTATTGCATGGAGGATTTATTCATGAGCTGACGTCGGTTAGAGAACCACTGGAAAACCAGCTGGGAGTACTGGACAGCTGTTTCGTCAAACTAGTTTGGGACTCTCCCGCAGTACGCACCCACCAAAGGGGTTTGAACCCAGGACCTTCTGGTTACAAGGCGAGCTAGCTCGTAGATCATTAAGCCAATAGGACCCGATCCAATGGTCCTTGAATTCTAACTTCTGCCAATTCACGACATAGCACGACCACTTAGCAATGTCTTCTTCTTTATCCTTATATCAATAATTCATATGGTCTTCCTACTTGGAAGCTTATCAACAAATCATATGGGGAAGAGTAGGTTCAGCTTATGGGAACAATAAAGAACAGAAGAAGACTGATGTGAGCTACCGAAATGGTATGTTCTACTCGAAACCTTAGGGAATATAAATATAATGTCTGGTTTAAGGAAGAAAGACCGATGAGGCTCGAAGACAGTGTTTAAGAGGACAAACTCATTGTAGGTGCAGACATTTGACATGCCATATCTCCAATGCTTTATTTGCACATCATTTGCAAATTGATCGAATATCACCCACCACATTCGACAGCTTGGTGGATTCTGCACAGTGTTTTGTAATGTTCTTCCCACGATTCTGTTCTTCAAATGCTTTTTTGCAGTCTCTGAAACATTCTGCTACTGTTCTGAATTCGTTTACTGATATATTACTTCTATCTGATTATATGTAGCACTCACTACACCGGCAGCAGACTGAAATCTTCAACAAACTGGCTGAAGAGGCTGGTTGGTTGGCTGGCAGAGAAGACAGGACAACATCCACATGAATATTGAGAAGGTGGAGACATAGGTGGTGAACATAAACCAACCAACAGTGATCAAAACAACAATAAGCATCAATCAATCACCATGAACGAAAGTAGCTTGACAGAGGTGAACTCTTTCACTTATCTGGCTAGGAAGCATTGTTCCAACCACAGACAGACTGCACGCAAATGAAGATGTCAAAACCAGCCAGCTAGACAGAATCGGGAAGGCAAGAGATACGTCTCTATCAAGCTGAAACCAGTTTGTGAAATCTTTTGCTTCACTCCACCTCAGCTAGCATAAACAACAAGATTCAAATTGTATTCAACACAAATGTAAAGACAATTAGTCAGTCAATTCTTCTATATATGGGTCAGAAACATGTACAGATCGTTTTGTGAGACCTGGCCACTGAGAGTGGAAGACATGAAAAGCCTAGCTAGCTGTCTTTGATCATAGGTGCCTGCGTTCTATTTCCCGTGTGTGTGAAGTGGCATAATAAGGTGAGCAACATTGAGGTTAGGCGTTGGTCGAGTTCTAGGTAAACAGGGGAAATCAATCGACGAAGTCGTGAAGTTACAAAGACTGAGATGGTTAGGACATGTGTTACGTATGCCAAGCCATCGCCTCCCTCGACGAGCAATGTTAGCGGATGTAGGGTCAGGCTGGAAAAAAGCTAGCGGCGGTCAAACAAAAACTTGGCACCAGTCAATGAAATCCACAACAGTTGGTCTAAGCCACGTAGGAAGGTGTAGACTTCCAGGCTAGGATCCTCGGGACTGTAAAAATCTATGGTTGGAAACAATTGGAGACATGGCTCAAAATCGTTCTCAATGCGCTGGCTGACGCAGATGCATCCACTCCTTGTGACTTATGATCTCCAATGAAACTGTTTTGTTTTTCTTTATTACTCCTTTGTCTCACTGTTTCTATTATGCTTTTCTTGTACTTTCTTCTCTTGCTTCGCGTGCTACACGGAGTGTGGCGACTTGAACTTCCGCACATTTGTGCAAAGTTCTATGTCGAAAACAGACAGACAGACAGATCGTTTTATTACCAAAAGCAACACGTATTTATTTAAATTTCACATACATTATTATAGCCTAGTCAAGTAGACAAACGCTGTCTTCTGATTGGTTGTTTTCGAGTTCCTCGGACGGAAAGTGGAGTGGAGCCATCTATCTGCGAATGATATTTGCCCACGTTTGAGTTTGCTGTGATTGGTTGTTGAAACACAGCCTTGTTCATATTTTTTCTCACAGGCCATATTAGTGACCTAGACATTGACGTAGATTAATGTCAACCAATTGGCTAGCAGGCTGCTCCCACCACAAACAAATATGTAGGAGAAAATCGATATGGATTGATTAACCATATGTAGAGGAAGGAGGCCGTCAGATGACATCAATCACTCGAGTGAGAGGTGAATGGGAAGTGATGATTCGGTGTTCAGTGCTATTGTGACATGTAGAAGATCGTGTGTGTGCGCGTGTGTGTGTAGGTGTGGGGGTGAAGGGGAGCTGAAAGATCATGGTCAGTCATTGAGCTAGATAGCCAGCTGAAGACGACAGCAGAGAACAGAACAAAGTGGATAGATGTTGATGAAGCCATATATGTTCTACTGGGAACCCCAGAGGAGAATAGTAATAATAATTATTATTTTCGACATTGAAACTAAACTCCTTATTGAAAGCAAACAAGCCAACCTCGAGTGAACTGACATAAAAACTTCAAAAGTTGAAATGTATTCATCATCATTACCATAACAACAATAATAATAATTAAAGAAGAAAAAAAATAGATGAGAAATGAAATGACTCACTTTCTTTGCATTCATATCTACCATAGAGATTGAAACCCGGTCGACATGCACAATAGTAGGAACCGATTGTATTTGTACACAAATGTTGACACCCCCCATTATTATCATCGCATTCATTACGATCAGTGAAGAATACTGCACGAAATCCTGTACGTTGTACTGACTTATCAGAATAAAATTCAATACTCAACTCGTTTGTATGCGAAGTTATCGGCAGTGGGATTTGATCTCCACAGAATGTACCAATTTTCTTTTGATTATCTGTTGGACCACTATACACATTGATAAAGTCGTATCTACATTCTCTCTGCAGGGAACAAAGAAGAAATTGAGAGAGAGAGAGAGAGCTAGAGATGAACAAAACATTAAAATAAACTTCGAGTCTTTATCATATTCTCTGTGTTGTGTGGACGCCTTGACGTAAATGCCATCATCCTGAGTGTTTTCAAAAGAATCTTCAGTCAAACTTGAGGATTTGGCAAATATTGCCAGATTAGCTGAACAAGAGGAATGTTATGCTGATGATATGGCAGCTGCCACGAAAGTCCTACACACTGAGCAAAAGATAAAGCAACAGCAGCTGGGGAAATGAGAAGAGGAATTCACTCTATCTGTGGCACAGTGAAATGTTCTTTCAGCTAGATGATCACAGAGAGCGGAGAGTTATCCTTAAGAAGTGAGACCAAAATAGTCATCCATCCTAAAAAAATGCCATTAAACAGTTATTGCTACCGATATCTTCTTGAAGTTGTTGAGAAATCCTTTGACTGCTTACGACACGGCGACTGGAATCACCCAGGATAGTATATTATTACTATTATTATTGTTATTATTATTAATATTATTGCCTCGAGTTCCGAGTGGGAAATAGGGCTGGCTTCAACAACACATCTCCACTTTGTTCTGTTCGCTGGCAGTCCTCTTCTACTGGCTAACTCCACGATTGGCTATAATCTCTCATCGCTTCTTCTTCTTCACACGATCTACTCCATGTCAAAGAAGCACCGACGACCCACTCGTCCGTCTCTCCTCATTCATCTTCCACTTGAGTGATGGCCTGAATTGTGTGCGATGTCATTTGGTGGCTGGCTCAATGTGTACGCCCGATCCATCCATCGCCACACTTTCTCCTACATATTTGTTCACTGATTGGCTCTTGTATGTTGATTGGTTTGTTCCACTACATAGTCTCTTGTTGCTTCTCCTTTTTCTGATCGGCTGGCCATTTGATCTTCAATATGTAGGCAGTCAGCGAAGGTGGCAACTGTTGATGAAAGTGTGAAACAAGCTGTGGGAAATCAATCCTTTCCGTGATAGGCTGGCCAAGTTTCTCACCCGTATGTAAGCAGTGACCGGCTTCACATTGCTGTTGTTGAAAATGCGAATCTTGTTCGTTATGCTGAGTGAAGCAGAAGATTTCCAAACTGGTTTCAGGTCGATGAAGGTGTGCATATCTTGCCTTTTCGGACTGCTGGCCTTGACAACTTCATTCGTCCGAACTGCTTGTAGTTGGAACGCTGCTTCATAGTCAGATAAGTGAAGGAGGCAACCTGTGTTAAATCTGTCCCATTGGTGGTGGTGATTGGTTGTTGCTGGTTGTTGTTGTTGGTGTAGCTGGTGTTGGTGGTGGTTGGTTCTCTTCATCACCTCGGTTTTCTCTGTGTTAATCTGCCGTCGTGCTTTTGCTGCCAGGTATCTCAGCCAGTTTGTTGTCATTTATCGCCTGCCTGCAAGTCTTCGAGTCTATGTGGCACCAGACATGTATATATATATATATCATCTGCGAATTTCATATCTTTTAGATTCTTTTTATTGGGCGTCGGTGTACTCCTTCCTGACTGCTCGCCTCCGCGCCTCGTCTGACGCATAATCTAGTTCACAACACACCGTTGGTGATGATAGGCGGCATTGTCTTACTCCTGTATTCACTTCGAACGCCTCTCTGAGTTTTCTGTTGTGGATCACTTCACACGTAGCACTGTCATATAACCAGCCAGCCAGCCAGCCAGCTGTTGAATGAGGTTGATAAAGACTTGAGCACTGCACTGAACTGCACGCCGTAGTGTTGAAATAGTTTCCAAATTTCTTCATGGTCATCGCTGGGTGCCCCATGCCTTTTCGAAGTCCATGAAGTTGGTGAGTAAGAGAGAGGTTTGATTGTCATTCTCTCCTCTGTTCTGCGATGAAGATGCGTAGAGTTGCAAATTAATCAGCACATGATTTGTTTTTCCTAAATCCAGCTTGTTCCTGTGGGGTAGGCGGAGTTCTGTATCCAGTGCATCCTTTGTTTTCTGTAGGATGATGTAACTTAGTATTTTACTTGGCATGTTGGAGAGCATTATTCCACGCCAGAGGCTTGAGTCCTACCTGTTTGGCAGTTTGGCGAGGTAGCCCTTCTTTTAGTCAGTAGGTGCCTTTTATTCTTTCCAAACCTTTTGCAGTAATAGAGTGAGAACATCTTCAGAAATCTCTGGGGCCATCTTCAGTGCTTCGGACAAGCTTGCCACTGTTCATCTTATTCTCTTTGGCTTGGTTCTTAACTTCTCAGTGTTTCATATAATTAAAAATCAAAAATGATCCCACTGAAGCCTGCAACCTTCGAAGAGAAGCATTCGATGCAGCTATCGCCGAACTTTACCAGCTATAAGATGATTCCTACAAAGACATCAGTTTTATAATACAGCTTTTAAAGGGACAATCTCACGTTATGGGCCACTGACCAGCCAGAGGCAGACGACACTTATCCGGGTGACAACTAAACTTATATAACAAATATTTTAAGACACGTTCCCCGCTGAGGCGTATACTTTCAGTAATCAACTCATTTTAGCAGGTGATTAAAGTGAGTTGACCTGCTGAAAATTTGGGATGCATTTGTCAACGGCTAGTCTTTGTACACCATGAAGGACTTATTTCATTTTGTCGGAAGTGCGTGAACCATATGAATGTTACGAATAAGTTGATGACGTCATTTGATGATGCAACTGCGGTGGTGTGATATATAGAGACAACAATGTGTGTTCCAACGGAATATTATTCTCACAAATACTATTCCCATACTTCAATACAGCGTCGGCAAGAAAATACTATGTATGCATGTATTTGGACGCCTACTGCTGATATATATATGTACCATGGATATAAAATTCTAGTTTGACAACACTCTTTACAACTAAGTAGATGGCATAGCTATCAGCAGTCCCCTTAACTCTGTGTGCTAGAAAGTATCTTCATGTCCAACTTTGAGAGAACAAAGTTGAAGCTGACAATCGAAGAAAATAACACTTCTGATTGTTGATAACACATTTGTAGTCTGCAACAATGAAAGTCATACTTCCTAACTACTTGAATTATTCAAATACATTCAAATACAAATAATGAATTTACTATGGAATATGAAAGTGGCGGACGATTCTATTTCCTTGACATTGCCATGCTAAGTCTAAAAGCGAGGTCAGTTTCCAGAGGTCAATTTACCAAAGATATAAGAATAAAACTTGTGCACTGTGGCAGAGTGTAATTCCATTATGGGTAAATTTTGTTTTGATAAAGTCTCACAGTGTTATACAGTAATGTTTACTGATGACCATGTTTCGAGCACAATTTATTGCCACTCATAATCATATCAAGGTAATCACACGACTTCCTAACTTCATTTATATAGTTCCATTACTTTTTCACTTGATTTTCACTTGATTCGATTGGCAGTAGTTGTATTTTCCATATTTCACGTATGAGTGATGACTCATTTCTATTGCGTCTGTTATGTTGGGTGTAGACTCGATGAACAAGGATTCAGTAATCAACCTCTCTCTATCTCCACCTACCTAGATTACATTTTAGAATTTCAACCCTCTCCCATCTCTAGCTTCTTGACACATATAAACTCACAAGTTGAGGGAATAAAATTCACATTTGAATCGGAAAATGAACAAGGAGAATTAGCTATGTTAGATTGTAAGATAAAAAGAATAGAAGAAGGCAAACTACACACTAGTGTTTATAGAAAACCAACGCACTCCAATAGATATTTAGACTTTAATTCGTCTCATCCGTTAACTGTTAAGGCAGGCTTAGTTAAGTGTTTAACAAACCGAGCCATAGCACTAAGTAGCACAAGAAAAGACCTAAATGATGAAATAAAACAGACAGAAGAAGCGTTGGTGTTGAATAACCATCCTATAAAATTCATTAGAAAGATCATTAAAGGCCAAAAACGAAATAAAAATAATTGTGAAACTAGTAATAATAATGTAAATAAGAAAGAATATAAGTCATCCACAATTATACCATATAAAGAGGGGACATCTGAGACACTACGTAGGATTCTGAATAAAGCAGAAATTAGAGTGGCATTTAAACCTACAAACTCACTCAGGGACAAGCTCTGTAGGTTAAAGGACCCAGCTGTACCAATTAGACAAAATAATATAATTTACAAAATACCATGCAATGACTGTGAGGTCAAGTACATAGGTCAGTCAAACTAGTAGGTCAGGGTTAGTCAGATTGTCAGAGCATAAGAATTTCGCTAAGGTAAGAATGGTTGACCCCACCCGAGAAGATAAGTAATTTAGAAAAAAGCTCAGCAATTGCAATGCATACGCTAACACACAACCACACAATAAGGTGGGATATGGTTAAAATTCTAAAAAGTAATCTAGGTAGGTGGAGATAGAGAGAGGTTGATTACTGAATCCTTGTTCATCGAGTCTACACCCAACATAACAGACGCAATAGAAATGAGTCATCACTCATACGTGAAATATGGAAAATACAACTACTGCCAATCGAATCAAGTGAAAATCAAGTGAAAAAGTAATGGAACTATATAAATGAAGTTAGGAAGTCGTGTGATTACCTTGATATGATTATGAGTGGCAATAAATTGTGCTCGAAACATGGTCATCAGTAAACATTACTGTATAACACTGTGAGACTTTATCAAAACAAAATTTTGCTCACTTTAACAAAACCCGCCTAGATGGAATGGACAATACCTACATTTTAATAGTTTTTATCCAAATAGCCATAAACGAGCACTAATCAAGACTCTAGTAAAATATCTTCAGCAGAGAAATCGGAGGAAGAATTTGTGTTTCTTCAAAAGGTGTTGAAAAACAACGGTTACCATGAAAGTTTCATTAACAAATATGTAAGATGTGAAGGCTCAAATGTTAAAAAAATCCCTAATGGGAAAAAACATGTCTTCTTCATTCAACTCGATTTTAAAAAATTGATAATATTGCAGGAATAATCAATAGCAGATTGAATATGTCACTGACTAGAGTCTATCATTCAGCTAGCTAACTAAGTTGATTCTCGTCCATTGGGCAACATGCTGTTTGATACAATCAAAAGTCAACAGGCACCCTTCACATTGTTAACGACTCCAACTGTGTATACAAATTTACGTGTATCTGCGGGAGCAGTTGCATTTAGAGAACAGAAACAAGGGCATACCTCCGATTTTCTGAACATGTTCCAAAAGTCTATGTCTACAGGGAACACACATACGTTAAATAATGCCACCGCCAAGCATCTCCTTAACACCCGTCATGAGGTGGACGTCGTAAGATCGTTCAAAGTAATCGGTAAGGCAGAATAGTTCAGTTCTCCTTAACTTTACCAGGCAAAGGTAATCTCCACCAAACGCCTGAAACCTGATTTATGCATGCTTTCAGAAACAAAGAGGTTATCAGCCTTTCCTTGCCTTGTTATGCCTGGTAACTTGATGTTTACATCCTCTCTCTTTCATCTGATTACGTAATACCAGAGTATAATTCGATTGTGTATGATTATTACTGTTTGGGATAAAGTGATTATTATCAGCATTGTAGGCGTATACTGATTGATTTCTTGATTGGTTGGGCTGAACTGTCTCTTTATCAATAAGCACCAGCCTACCACATCACATCGACAGGGTCCGAACCCACCACCTTTTGGTGACAAGGTGAGTGAGCTCGTAGACCATTAAGCAGCCTCATACTGGTACCCGAGCAGATCCAATGACCATCCAGCCTATGAATTCAAACTTCTGTCAATTCACACATGACACAGTGTGACCACTGAGCAATGTCATCTTCCATGAGTAACTGTCCTCATCTTCGACTTGATGTACGCTACTGGTTACGGTTTCTCAGTTGAACCCACTAGAACTACCTAAGTTAATAGAGCCAGTGGCTAGTAAGCATCAGATGAGCAACCGATGTCAGCTGATAATGAAATCCTCCAACCAAACAAAATCCTTGCAAAACCAATACTCGAAAATTGATCTTATGCTCACTAGCCACTTGCCCCATTCACGTAGACGTAGTTATCAGGGGTTCTAGTGGGAAGCCGTGATCAGTAGGGTACAGCAAGTTGGAGGTGAGGACAGTTACTCATTAAAAGAAGACATTGCAAAGTGTGTTCGCGCTGTGTCGTGCATGATATTGGTAGAAGTTAGAATTCATGTACTGGCTGGCTGGCTGGCCGGCCGGCCATTGGATTGAGTTCGGTCAGAGTGAGTGGCTGCTTAATGGTCTACGAGCTCACTCGCCTTGTAACCAGAAGGTGCTGGGTTTTGACCATGTCAGTGTGTAATCTCCGATGACAAGGGGCGGGCAACAGATCCTTCATTGAGAAAACCAACAGATGTATTTATGGATTTTTACGTACATTATTATTCGTTATTGTTAACAGAGAAGAAACATATTCTGATTGGTTGTTTTCTTGCTGAAGGTTAACCTGACATCTCTTTTCGTTGCCATTACTAAAACACTCCGAGGATATATCTGCAAATTGTATCCACCCATGTCACGTCTGCTGTGATTGGTTGTTGAGAGTCCCTCAAGGTTTTAAGCGTTTTTATTGTTTTCTCTTTTCCTATGACCCCGACGAAAAATTGTTGTCTACCGATTTCGGTTAGCAGACAGCTCTCACCACAGGTGTTTTGAGTGGGTGCGTACTTCTGAAGAGCCAGTTGTAGCCCAAGCTCTAAACGAACAAACGAGGAAATAGTTGTCTGACAGTATCCACTGTGACTGGTTTCTCCAGCAGTGGTTCTCTAACCACCAACCACAATGTCAGTGCTCATGATGAAATTCTCCAACCAGCTAACCAAACAAACAAACAAAATCCCTTCAAAACGAATACTTGACAAATTGAAAGGCTAACAAAAAATGAAACCAACCAACGACACCAGAGATAAGCGGGAACTCACATTACGGCCTTCCAAATTAAAATGTGTGAAATTTAAAAATATTGTTGTTTTAGGCGGTGCTAAAATTTTCCAAATACAATTTTTCCGAGGTGGATACAGATCAGGAAATGATGGAGTTTGTATTGTACCATTCGACTCGTTTATTACACCACCGCAAGCATCTATTGAATTTAATATATGTACAGATTTACAAATATGATATTATTATATAATCACTGTAATAATAATAATAATAATAATGCCTTCGTTGAAACAGTAAGTTCTTACATAAAGCTGGTGTAGCATATTAATAAAAAGGATAAATCAAAAACTTGATCTCTGTGGTGGTGGTGGTGGTACACAGAGTATAACTCCATCATGGAGAAAATGTTCCATTTTGATAAAGTGTCATATACAGTGTGTGTGTTTGTTTGTTTGTTGTACAGTAATATTTACTGTTGATGGCCACACACACACACACACACGCTTCGAGCACAATTCATCATTGCTACTACTACTATTCATAATCATAATCATATCAAGGCACACAACTCACACTCACACACCACTCACTTTCTTGTTTCGTCATTTATATACATGCATAAGTACAAATTGATGATGATTAGACAACATTTGACTGAATCAAATCAATCAGTGGGATAAGATGGCAAGAAAGTACATTCGGAAATAATAATGATGATATTAGTCTTATCAATCAATCAATCAGTCGAATACAATCAGATTATGGGATCGGAAGGGGCATAAGACGAGTGTTTCTATAGTAAAATTAATGAATAAATAAATAACTTTATAAATTATTTTAATTGAACAAGAAATTGAAAAATCCTGGCTATTGACGACAGTCATTCCATATCGAAAAGACACAGCTGGACAACTTAAAAGACTATTTGCTTCATATAATATTAAAGTCTATGTCAAACCTTGTAATTCTCTGGAGAAAGCGCCGGTGCATGTCAAAGATATAGTTCCCACAAATGTCACAAAGTAATTGAGTCTACAAGATAAATTGTTCAGAATGCGATGCATCCTATCTATATTGGGGGAGGGCAGTAAGCAGGTGAAAGTCAGAGTGAATGAACACAGACTGAATACGCACGAAACATCTCGGCCTAGAAATGATGAAGTAGAATTAAAAAGTCTAGAAAAAAGATCGGCTATAGCAATGCATGCGGTAGACAGCGGACATAAAATTGATTTTGACAATGTCGAAATTCTTGGAAGAGGATTTCATTCAACATATAAAGAAAGATTGACTTCTTAAGTCTTGCACATTTTAACCACATCAAATGCAGTGAATAGGAGGGAGAGAAGGGATAGACTTATCACCTACCTATATGGCGAACTCTTATGAAGCAAGACAGATGAAAAAACAACAAACACTCTATGAGCCTCCATGATGTTTTTAGAACATGTAGTATCATGTTTATCACATATGAATTCACGTATTTTCCATATGACAAATAACATACATACACGCATACACACACAAAGCGATACAAATCTAATCTTTACAAATCAACCATAGAAGAGTGAACACAACAGCAATTTGACATTAGTCATTACAAATATATGTGAACACGGGCAGCAGTAATTTTGCTCGAAATATTACCAATAACGAAACTTATCCTGGTGTGTGTAAACTATTGAAATACAATTATACTTTATTTGATCTAATCCACAATGCTCAAACTTTTTACTGATATTCATTCGACTGCTTACATATTTCTATTGGTAAAAAAAAGTGTCCATGGTCAAATGACCTTCAAAAAAACTGATTTCAATTCATGTAAAAAGTTTTTGACTGTATATTTTGATGATTAATATAAATCTGAATAAATCTGCTGAAGAAGCTGGCTGTGGCTTACACGGCGAAACGTTCAGAAAACAGATCTTGTTTTGATTTTCTTAACACGCTGGGATTAATTTAAATAATTTATAATGAGTCAATCCGACTCGGCGCTGAAATTATTCCAGGAAGTTCGTAAAACCTACGGTCTGGAAACCTATAAATAAATAACTTGTTGTTAGCATGTTCTAATGTGCATGTGTATATGAATTGAATTGAATTGAAATAGAAAACATTTTGAGATTATTCATTATCCTCCTGCTCTAATTTGACTGACCGACTGACTGACTGACCGACTGACTGACTGGTGGTAATAATGTCTTGCATATCTCTGGTGTTAGCTGGCGACGATGATGATGACGAGTCATTTCTGTTGCATGTGTTGTGTTGGATGTGCAGACTCAGTGAACTAGGCAGGATTCATTAAGTAATCAATCTCTGTCTATCTATCTATCTCCACCAACCGATATTACTTTTTATAATTTCGATTCTGTCCTACCCACCGTGTTGTGTGGTTGTGTGTTAATGCATACAGTGCAATGTAGTGCTGATTTGACTTCTAAATTACTTCTAATCTTCGTAGGCGGGATCAATCATTTTCACCTTAGCTGAATTCTTATGTTCTGACAGCCGGTCTCAATACTCCTGCCTGATCTACTCGTCTTATTCTCTATGTAGGCAGTTGATCTAACTCATAGGCATTGCAAATTATGTTTGATTTTATTCAAATATCTAATCATTATCAATTTTTACTTATGCATGTATATAAACGATGAAGCAAGAAAGGGAATGGTGTGTGTGTGTCTGTGTGTGTGTGTGTGTCTTGATGTGATTATGATTTTGAGCAGTAGTGGAATGATAAATTGTGTTCGAAGCGTGTGGTGGTCATCATCAGTAAATATTACACTTTATCAAAATAAAACATTTTATCCATCATTGAGTTATACTCTATCACCACATTGCCGCCCCATCTTCATCCTTATGTCCTTGGGAATCGTTCGGTGTGCTATTATTGTGGACGAAAATGAATTTATATATATATATATATATATATATATGAGTACAGTTCATAAATGTGTGAATTAAAAAAAACAATTCTGACAGTTGGTGTGGGGATCACGGACAGTAGTAATTTTGCTCAAAATATTACCGAAAACAATCTAAAACTTCATGCATTTATCCCCATTGATGAATTTGAATAGCGAGGAGAATATGCTCTGCAGAGAAATTAGAGGAAGAATTCACGAATCTCGAAAAGATGCTGAAACACAACGGCTATCCTCAAAGATTCATTAACAAATATGGAAGATGTGAAGGCTCAAATACCAAACAAATCACAGTTGAAAAAAGCCTGTCTTCATTCAACTAGATTTTAGAGACGAAGACAGTGCAGAAATGATCAACAGAAGACTGAGGACGTCACTAGCCAGAGCCTATCCTGCAGCTAAGTTGGTTCCCGTCCATCGAACCTCATACTCTTTGGTGCAGTCAAAAGTCGATAGATACCCTTCTCATGTTAACTCCAACTGTGTATACAAATTTACGTGTATCTGCAGGAGCAGTTACATTCGGAGAACAGAAAGAAGCGCACACCTCCGATTTTCTGAACATGTGCCGAAAAGCCTACGTCTCAAGGGAACAAACTCTTATAGCAGCGCTATTACCAGACATCTCTTCGACACGGGTCATGAGGTGGAAATCGAGAAATCCTTTAAAATTATCAATAGACAAAGAAGCTCCATTCTCCTCAAGTTTGCCGAAGCAATTTCTATCAAACGCTTGAAACCAGATCTATGTGTTCAGAAAGAAGCAGTTATTAATTAGTCTTTCCTTGCCTTGGTAACTGGATGCATTTTTTTCTCTCATCTGATTACGTAATTTTTGTCTTTAACCTCACCCTCCTTTTATAATCTGTAATTTTGCTTGTCTCTTGTTTCTATGATTTGAGCTCAACTCAGTACATTGTTACCTAACTTACTAGTCACTATGCATCTAACGCACATCTCATCTTCATTATGCAACTCCCTTACCATTATATGCATACATTTATTTTGTTTTAACTTGAACTGCCCATGTAAAAACTATATAAGCACAATCTTCTCAGCACTGTTTACTAATTGTGGAACTTTCTGTCAACTGACAACATGTAAAATTTGCTTGTATGCTAAAACGTTTCTGTACTAAAAACCTCAAAATTTATTTAGGCTGTGAGCAGCTGATGAGAAGCCAACGAAATAAACAATGATGATACCATGTTATTCTGCACAAACCACTGTTGTTCTCACTTTATTCAAAATCAAAAACTTATCATTGTGCTTAAACCATTGAAATATATATTTATACTTTATTTGATTTATTCCTCAATGCTCAAACCATTTACTGACATTAATTCTGTTTTCCATAGCCAAAAATGGCCTCCTCTACTTGATTGGTGCGCATTCAAGGTCATTATTCATTGATTGGTAGTTGGTTTGTTTAACTTTGCCTGAATTTAAAAAAAAGTTAAGCAACCAAACAAAACTAATTCTAAATGACACAGTACTAGCTAGAATTGACAATAACCGTCTTTACTCACTCACCTTCACAATGCTTTCCGTCTGCATTGAGTTCATAACCTATTTCACATTGACATCGATAACCCCCGAGTGTATTGACACAGGTATGTGAACAACCATGCTTCATTGTTTTGCATTCATCAAATTCTAAAATAGTGAAAATATTATTAAAAAAATTGATTCACAACTATGTATATGTATATATGGTATCTCATCTCTGACTCGATTTTCGATTAGTTGACTGATAATACTTACAACTGTTTGTCATTTTGTGACTGTTTTACAACGCATATTATCTATAATTGTAAATATTGTTAGATTTACATGGCCAAGTTGTCTCAAGTCGTTGAGTCTATGGTTTTGACACTATATTTGTTAACTATTCTTTTCTTTCTGACAGCGATACTACTGTCGATACTGTCGACTTTGAAGAAGCCTTCGATAGCGCAGCGTCGATAGAGAGGTGATTTGGCAACTACTTCGCTACTACTATGGGGTCCCATCGACAATTATACATCTCATCCAACAGTTATACGACAGTGATGCATGCCAAGTAGTCCACAACGGGAAACTTACGGAGGCCTACGAAATGAGGACGGGAGTGAGGCAAGCTGGCCGTCTATTATCACCAATGATCATCCTGATTGCAGTAGATTGGATAATACGACAGACAACAGGCAATAAGGAAACAGGCATAAAATGGACTCACACAAAAACAACTTGGAGGATCTGGGCTTCGCCGATGATGACATATGTCTGATTTCCCACAAACTAGAAGATATGCAAGTGAAAAGCAACAAGATGGCAGAAGAAGCATCAAATATAGGAAGGATTTCAGGTGGACATAGATAAAACAGAGGTAGGTGATGAAGATTCCTGGCCAACACCACCAACAGCCACAACAACAACAGACAACAATCAGGCTGCATAAATGGGAGGAACCTGAAAGAAACAACCTCCTCTACCTACCTGGGAAGCATCGTTTCAACTACAGGCGAACGGAACTAACGAAGATATCAAAGCAGCGAAGATCGGGAAAGGAAGACAAGCTTTCATTACTCTCAAATCTCTGTGAAAGTCAACAGCACTCAGAATCAAAAATAACATCCGGATTTTCAACTCAAATGTAAAGTCAGTCAGCGCTACTCACTATACGGATCACAGACTTGGCCAGCGAGTCATAAGGAGCACCTCAAACAAACTTCAAACCTTCATCAACAGCTGTCTTCGCTCAATACTCCGCTCAAGATCAGATGGCTGGCCGGCCAGAAAAGATCAGCAACAGGGATCTCTGGGAATGAGCAAACCAACACAGCAGGAACCGTTTGTGAAACAAATAGGCAGGAAGAAATGAAGATGGATTGGATTGTGTCCATACTCTGAGGAAACCATCAAGTGACTGGGATCACTAGACAAGCCATTGCTCGAGTGGAACCCGGCCGAAAGGGAAGCGGGTGGCGAGTTGGTCGTCAGTGCGAAGGTAGGGTGACTTGGAGGAGGTCATGTGAAGGGGAGGAGATGAAAGCATGTGGACAGACTTGGAGTGGGGTGAAAAAGTTGGCAGAAAACAGAAGGCAATGGAGGTTCGCAGCTGAAGCTCTATGTTCCTCTAGGAACTAAAGGATAAAATAATAATAATACTATTACGAGTTTTTTTGTAGTCGCTGCACGTCCTGTTGTGAATTTTTTCAATATTTTAGCCTTTGCTGGTGTTGTTCTGATTGCTTTATTCCTTGTTTTCCTGATTCTAAGGGGAGCAACTCAAAAAGTTACTCCTCTGAAACCTATAGATTCATGTAACAACCCGCCCTTCTCGGGCGTAAGGCGAGAAAACCCACCCTGTAAAACCAAATTGCTCCTGGTTTCAATACCCCACCCCTAGCGATGGGTGCATACTATCAACGATTCCCAAACTAGGCGAAAGAAACACATGTCTGGCAGTACTCCCTGTGGCTGGTTTTCAATGGTTCTTCTCTTACTGATATCAATCCGTGGTCAGACTTGAAAAACAAACCTAATCCTTACAAACCAAATTCTTGAAAAAAGATGCAGATGTATATTTTAGAAATTATATCTCGTGAGGGAATTGAATCGTAGGGTGAATACATGAAATAGCAATAATAATAATAGTTTGGGGAGAGCTGGCTGCTAGCCAAATTGGTAGACAGTAATTTACATCAATGTTTACGTCCCCAATATATTGGTTGTGAGAATAATAAGAACGCAGACTGATTCAACAACCAGCCACAGCAGACTTTGCATAAGCGGATACAATTAGCATATAGATGATCTAACATTCAAGAAACAGCCACAAAGAGATGAAAGATTTGGTTCCAGTGAAAAACCACCTATTAGAAGACAGTGTTTTTCTGCTAACAATAATCTATAATATTGTACATGAAAATCTATAAATATGTGTTGATTTCTTCAATAAAGGATCTGTTGCCTGGCCCTTGTCTTCTGTTGTTACAGTAATTTGAAATTGAAATACAGGAACATATTCCAGCAGTACGGTTTATATATATACAACTTGATAATAAATTCTTTAGGAAGGATCTCTTCGCTACTGACCGACTATACCTGACTAAGTTGACCGGAAGGACTTCTAGGAACACGTCGGCACTGACTATATTGCTTGTCCAAGTGATGGTTTGTAGGGATTTGATTGGTTTCAGGATTTCATCATGAGCTGACATTAGTTAGAGAACCATTGGAAAACAGGCTGGGGGTACTGGATAGCTGTTTCCTCCGTCCTAGTTTGGGACTCTTCAGCAGTACGCACCCACCGGGATTCGAACCCAGGACCTTCCGGTTACAAGGTGAGCTCGTATACCATTAAGCCACTGGGATCCGATTCAATGGTCCTTGAATTCTAACTTCTGCCAATTCACGACATAGCGCAAACGCTAGCCAATGTCTTCGGCGAGTATTTGTCCTCACACCCGACCGGCTGCACCCTACTGGTCACGACTTCCCACTGGAACCCAGGTAACTACCTACCTGAATAGGGCCAGTCACCAGTGAGCATCTCATTGGTATTCAAGTGATGGTTTGCTTGTTCTTTATGCTAAATGCATCATGAATTGGCAGAAGTCAAAATTCATGCCGTGGCCACTGAGTTTGTTCGCAATGCTTGAATGGTCTACGAGCTCTTTATGTGTAACTAGAAGTTTCTGGGTGTTTGAATCCCTGTAGTGGGTGTGTACTGATGTGGAGAGTCGTCGATTGGGCGACTTAACATCCCTGTCCAGTTCTCTGACTGACATCATCATCATCATCAATCTGTTACCAGACCTGATAAAAAATTTAACTGGTCTGATGAAATTTCCAATAGAGCTTAAGAATAAAATTACTGATCAAATTTTTGGAGAGTAATTCAAGTGCTCCAATGTCCTTGGTGCTTCATAAGTGGTTGTGTGGTGAAAGTCACATTTTAACGTTGTACCAATTGTTGTACAGATGTTTTGAAGTCTGATTCTGTTATGTACTGGTCGAGTAATTAATAGTCCTGACGCAAGAGGCGGAAATCAGAAAACCACCAGGTTCACGATGATACTTGTATTTTTTCTTTTCAAACAACCAGGAAAATCAATGTCACACAAGTGTATGAGCGAATGTTCAAAAATACGAACGAATCAATAGACAGTCTTAACATGATTGGTTAACATGATGTCATGTGACAACAAGGTCAGACATTTATTTAGTTAGTGAACAGACAAAAGCATATTGTCAATTATAATGGAATATCCATCCATATATACATAGCAAAATATAACAGACTGTCAAAAACAGACACACATATTATGTGGATACATATCAGATTCGCGCTCAGAAAATATTTTTTATTAGAGACACTAGAAAGTCAATTCGTAGGGGGGGGATTTGATTCGTTTCAACTTTCGTCATATGGATTGAAATCAGTTAGAGGACCAGTGAAAACGAATAGGGAGTGTACTAGGCAGAGAAATGTTTCATCAACGTAGTTTGGGACTTATAGGCAGTACATATCCTCCAAGGTTCGAATTCAGCAGCTTTCGGTTACAAGGATCTTGAAAATTTTAATCTGATGGTCACCAGTAACAGCTAACTACAGGACTAACTTGACTAGAGGAATTCCTAGTGAGAAGTTGTGAGGAAAAATCTTCTTCGCTGATGATGATACTGGCTGGTGGTCATGCTAAATGTATCCCAATTCGGTAGAAGTTGAATTTCGTGCACTGACCAATAAATTGGGTCCATTTGGTTGAATGGTCTATGAGTCATTTGTGTGTAATGGGTGATGGGTGTTTTGGTGTGTGTGTGTATGTGTGTGTGCTGCAGATGAGTCCCAAACTAGGCGGACGAGGAAGGTATCTAGTACTCCCTACTAGTTTCCAGTGGTTCTGCAACTGATATAAGTTTGCGGAAAAGTTTAAGGAGGTATGTAGGGAACTGTATCCACTCGTAGACGCATCCCCGCTCATCCACCTGCATAAGTATTGTTCGCATAAGTTATACGTTTATCCTGTTCCCTTGTTACTTCTCAGATGTTTAGCTGTATTGCCACTGGTGTAGAACCGGCAACTGAATCAGGTTAAGGTTGGGACAGACTGTCAGACTGTTAGCTATAATGTAATCCAAAGAGAGAAAAAACCAACCTTCATGCACTAACTTAAGATATCGAACAAAGGAACTGCTTGTTCACCAACCTTTTTTATGTACTGAATAAAACAAAAAAAAATATATGCACCTGTTATTATTTTTTACATGGGTCACGTGTGGAACATAGAGACGGCTTCAACAAGACATCTCCACTATCTTCCATTTTCTGCCGTCCTCCTCAGTTGGCTAGCTCTACGATTTCCTATAATCTCTCTGGTTTCCTTCTCCAACTCACACGATCTCCTCTACGTCACCCTTCTCACCAACAACCCACTTATCGCTTGCCATTTGGATTCCAGTCGAGCGATGGCCTGCATTGCGCACGACGTCATTCGAAGCCCTTCTACCTCAATGTGTGTGCTCGATCAATCCATCTCAATTTTCTCTCATATATATTTGTTGAACAATCGGCTCTTGGTTGATTCGTTCATTCGTTTCCAGAGTTTCTTGTTATTAATTCTTTCTAGCCAGCCGACTTGCCATTGGATCTTAAGTATGCAGGTAGTCAGTGAAGTGAGCACCTGTTAGTAAAGATCTGCAGTTTAGCTGTTTGAAATGCTTTGCGTAATACGTATTGCAAGTTTCTGACCCGAATTGAAGAAGCAATCGACTGACCTTCAGATAGGTGTTGAATATAATCTGAATCTTGTTGTTCTTGCTGAGGCTGAGTGTAGGAGATTTTGAAACAGGTTTCAGGCAGATGAAGGCGTATATGTTGCATGCCTTTCCGATTCTATCTGGCTGGTTTTGACATCTCTTCATCCGTTCCGACTGCCTGTAGTTGGAAGGCTGGCTGTCTAGCCAGATAAATGTAGGCAGGAAGTAACTTTTGTTAAATCTCTCCCATTGATGGTGATTGATGCCGGTAGTCTTCATCAACTCAGTCTCTATCTTTTCTATGTTCACCTGCATAGTCCTGTCTTCTCTGGTTGCCTGCCTCTTCACCCAGTTTTTTTTTTATTTTCGCCAGTAAGTCTTCCAGTTTGTGTGACATTAAACATAACTGATACACACACGCGCAACGCAGATGTTCTGGAGTCTTCTTATCGGTCAGTGCAGTGTATTCGTGTCTTCTCTCACCCACTCCCCCCAGCACACAGTATAACTCATAGTCCAGTCCATCACAATTAACTATATCATCGTTGGTGATAACAGGTAGCTAGGTACCCAGCCAGTCAGCCTTGTCTTCCTTCCTGTATTCACTTCGAATGCCTCGCTGAGTTTTTCATTGTGGCTAACCTGTGACACCTAGCAGTGTCATATAACCAGCCAGCCAGCTGTCGAATGAGATTGATAAAGAACTGGACAACGCACTGCACAGTTTCAAAATTACACTCTGGTCAACACTGTCCATCGAAAGCCGTTTTGAATTTGATGTTGTTGAGGTACAGAGAGAGAGACAGAGAAGTTTGACTACCATTCTATGCTTTGCTTTGTAATAAAGATGCGTAGAGTTACAGTTTTATGAGAATATAACATATCTTCCCTGAATCCAGCCAGCTTGTTCTAGGCAGTTGGGTTGGCGGAGTTCGGCATACTTTATTCTCTCGAGGATGGTGCACCTATAGAGCAATTTATAAATAGTCTGGCCTTCAGTTGAGAACCGTTGAACAAATTCCACAGGTTTTAAGTAATCATTTAAACTTCACTAAATTGCTGAAATAATAATTAGGTTATCATTCCTTCATACAAAAAAAAAGAACAAAGAAACAAAAAAAAGCAAAATTACCTTTCTGAAAAGTGGCTGTGAATCCTTGTTTCTCTACAGAACTATCCGATACAAATTTCACATACATCACATTATTCGTCGACTTTATTGGCGTAGGCAATTGAGATCCACACAATTTCTTCAAAAGCGGAGATGTCTCCTTTAATCCATCACGGATTTCCAGGTAATCGTATACACATGTATCATGTTTTTCAAGCTGAAAAAGGTTTTTTGTTCATTTAATTTTCTATTTTGGAAATATATATATGAGTAAGAATTAAAGTTAGGCAATAAAAGTTAAGATTGACAAAAAATTTAAACTATCATCTCATTGAATGGAACAGCCAGCTGACAAACTTTTACAGTTGTCTACTCATCAATTCCCACCATGGGAACCTGACAATTATATCTCTTGTGACTAGAATCTGCCTTTGGAATATGCAGCCCTGTGAATCAATAGAACAGGAGATCACTGTCTTTTGAGGAAGTGAATAAGCATCTGAATACATGCGGAAAATGGTCTAAAACCATACTCTCTGACCGCCGACATCCCCTCTATCCCCAACTCTCTCCTTGCATCTCATCAGGTAGAACCAGAAATCAGTACAAAATAATATATATGCTCGTACAACCAAGTATAGGAACTCAACGATACCATTTTTGGCCAGCCCGTGTTCTAAGTGACAGAGACAATGTTAGGCGTGAAACTTATGACTTGCTTTGTTGTTAATAACATAATTTTGGTCCTTGTTATTTCCCCCTTATACTCTCTTATTTGTACTCCATAGTGAACAACCTTCTTATACATACTTAGCTTCTTAATATTATTATCATTGGCTTACTTTTTTATTCTTTATTCTATTCCTTCTTTTGTATATCTACTGGGTCCGACTATATTATCACTATGACTATTACAGAATTGTCCCGTCATTAACCATCATGTAATATTAATTTTTGTGGATATTCTTTGTTCGGCACTATTTAACTGACAAATCTTGGTTGTGAACGCCACTATCACCATTTTAAAAATTTTTATATTAGGCATGATTACTCACACTACCACTACAAACACCGCATTAGTGCTGACAATAAAAAAAAACGCGACCTGAAATGTTTATCTTATGATTGTTTAGTGTTGTTCAATCAAATTTACTGATTATCTTGGCTATAAACATTCGTAAGAACATCTCATAACTTCTTGTTTGATTATAGCTGTTACTGTTCACCACGCATACACATATCTCATAGCTTCCACTAACCAATACTGAAATATTTTTTTCATTATTGGTGTTTATCTTCCTTTCAACTTGGTATTTTGATTTGCATTTTTTTGTTATTTCTGTGTTTCTTTTTTGGTTTTTGGTTGTGTTTTTTTATATTTATTTTTGTGTGTAATACTCCTTTTAAATGTACGATGAAATTAGATGCAATATTGTAGATATGTGTGCTGAAAATTCCACACTGTACCACAAGTACTGTTTCTGGAATAAAAGCGAAATTGTTATGTTATGTTAAGACGCCACTTGAGAATGGCTATCCACCCCCCTCCACTACCATCACGCTTTGTAGATAAACATATAAAGGTGAAGAATCGACAAAGAATAACCCATTTATGAGCCGAAGAAGATGCTATACATGAATGAATGTGGCGTCCTTCGGGGCCTGAAAACAACATTCTGTGGTGCTGTTACATGACGATTGGTATTCTGAAGCCCCGTCCAAAGTTAAACTATCTATCTCATTTGACCACCTCTATGTGTATCTACCTACCTACCAATTCACTTGATCATGTGGAGTGAGTGAGCGAGACAGGTGTATAGCTCGTCTGATGTGCGTTTCATCAAAAAAATAGTCAAAGAACATTATCCTACTTGGCTGTGAAAAAGGTAACAGTGGATCAATGAAGAGTGCTATACAACTGAAGAAATATATGGTCAACACTGCTCACTCAATATATATATATATATATATATATATATGTAAGGGGGATTCATTCAAAGTCATCTACATAGTCAAAAGAAGCCGACTGTTGAAAATGTTAAGCTTCTGTATACTTTGCATTGAGAGGCAGAGAGGCATTAGCGACGATCCGCATAGAAAACACGCTGATTTATGCACAGAAAAGAAGAAAAAGAAGAAACTTCTCCACCCCCGCCTCATTCCCGCTTCTACCGAGGGTGTAATTCCAAGTTCTACGATTTTGTTAATAATGTTTTGTTTTCTTTTTTGTTGGTTTTTTTATAATATTTTCGAATGGCATCTTATTAACGTCTTCTTCCTCCTCTTAACCAACTTTTTCCTTACTCTATTACATAACTTGGCTCTTTTGGACATGTGTCTCCATTATCATCCTATTTCGTATTACGCAACCCTTGTCATTATTGACTAGTCTTCACCCCTAACCTCTCCACCTTAGTTACAATTCTGATTATTCATCACCTTTTAGAAACATTTTGGTTACGTAAGCAGTAACCCTAACTAATTTTTATTTTATTTATTTATTAGGCAGGTTCATCATCGTATTTCCGAACATCATCCGGCATGGTTAAGCAAGGGACAAACAAGATCAATTCGTAGCTAGCTCTATTTTAGCACACCTTGTAGATAGATAGTGAGCATAAGGTAGACGACGTTAATACTGCATTTAAAATTATTTATCGCATTCCTACTAATCTTAATTTTGCTTTACGAGTTCCTCTTCTAAATACCTACAGCTGAAGTAATAGGAATCCACCTGAAGAAGAAGAAGCCAAACTTGTGTGTGTGTTCAGAAGAAATTTGTACAGCCACTATCCTTACCTTCCTTGGCCATCGTTACATAACTGTATCAATCGGACTACTTTATACCCCTCCCTCTAAAATATTTTTTCTTTTTAAAAACTATAAAAACTATAATTGTCCAAATTATTTTATTATTTTTTCCGACTACTTCATCTTTAATTACGTGTGTTATCCTTGTAAAAATTATTTAATTTTGTTTTTGTTTGCCGATCCTGTTGCACACACACACAAACACACAAAATAATTATGTATAAATGCGATTGTGTGTTGAGAGCAGCCTGCTAGCCAATTGGTTGACATTAATCTACGTCAATGTCTAGATCACTAATATCGGCCGTGAGAAAATATGAACAAGGCTGTTTCAACAACCAATCACAGCAGACTTATGCAATATCATTCGCAGATAGATGGCTCCACTCCACTTTCCGTCCGAGGAACTCGAAAACAACCAATCAGAAGACTGGGTTTGTCTACTCGACTAGGCTATAATAATGTATGTGAAATTTATATAAATACGTGTTGATTTTCGTAATAAAGTGATCTGTCGCCTGGCCCTCGTCTTCTGTTGTTAACAGTAGTATCAACATTGTTTCTCTAATTGACGAGAAAACTCCAAGACGCCCACAATATATATAATTTTCATTTTCAATAATATTACCAAATTTTATACAAATATAAGAAAGATAAATACTTACCTGAAAAGAATGAAATATCAAAGCGACTGAATATCCAACTGGTACAATAATTTGCCAGATACATTCTTTACTTGGTCGATAAAATTCTGGATAATTTGGACTCGTCAGGGTACCTTCCTCCATGTGTAGTTCTCCGCCACAGATAGCTAAACACAGATAATATACGGGAGAAGATTTGTAGCTCTCAGATGGATAAGATTCAGATATAATTGTGTTTTCTGATCTAGCTGGCTGAATGGTCCATTTTGCGAAGCTTTCATTAGTACCCTTCTACTAGGCAACATTTTCAGCACATATTTCACTTCGATTTCAATTGAAGTGAACTTTTAAATTTCTCCACGAGTTTATGAGTCATCTCTCCGAGTGGGTAGTGAACTTGAAGGTGATTGATTGTTTTTGTGTGTTTTCACAACCTCTAGCCTACTACTTGTATTGGTATTGATTGGTGTTGATTGTTTCAATGACCCCTGAATTTTCACTCTTTGTGTGTGTGTGTGTGTATGTGTGTGAGAATTCCATCTTATCGATTGGAAGATTTTGTCTATTTCGATGAATCCATTAATTGAGGATTCCAGGATTTTATCATGAGCTGACGCTAGTTAGAGAACCATTGGAAAACAAGCTGGGGGTACTGGATAGCTGTTTCGTCCTAGTTTGGGACTCTTCATCAGTACGTACCCACCGGGATTCGAAACCCGGACCTTCCGGTTACAAGGTGAGCTCGTATACCATTAAGCCACTGGGACCCGATCCAATGGTCCTTGAATTTTAACTTCTGCCAATTCACTATTCACTGAAATACGAGGCAGGCTTTTGGATACTCTCTGACATTCTTGGTGTTTCCTCTGTCTAATATTTGAAAGCTGGTTGTCCCAGTTGAGACACATCGACATAAGCAAAATTTACCAGTCGATAATAAGGGAATCTCTCACGCACACAGACAAAGGGTCAAACTTCAGGTCAAGTAAACTATCAACACGAATACCTATAGAAGTAGCTTAGACTGACTGTCTGGTTTCAACTTAGAGCTTTGCACCAGTATGCACCAGTTCAATTCGCCCACCACACTTCACTCAGCATCACCGATTGTCTCCATCCTTCATTTGTATTTACTGTTCCAAGGACCCCAAATGTGAAGCCAATCTTCACCTTTCTCCCTGAGTGGCTTAAACTAACTGTTGTGGATTTCATCGACTGATGAAGTCATGTTGGTTTTGGTTTGATCACCATTGGCTAACTCTTTTCTAACCTGATCTGTCTGTCATCGAGGAAGGCAAATGCTGGTCATGAATACGTAACACATGGCCTAAGCATCTCTCTCAGTCGATGTAACTGCTTCACAGCGTCGTCGACTGATTTCCCCCACCCTGCTTACCTTGTATTCGACCGATGCCAAACCCCAATATTGCTCACCTTATTATACCACTTAGATAGGAAACAGGCACCTGTGATTAAACACAATTAGATAGTCGGTTTTTTCATGTCTTCCACTGTGTGAATGGCCATGTCTCACTCAGCCAACCAGCCAGTTATAAAGGAGGACGGATCAGACTACTGCTGAGCAGTACACATGCTGTTTGGTCGACAGCTAGCCAGCCAACCAGCTGGATATCAAGTCTACTAGGCCAGAGATGGCGTAAAGTGGCATATGCAAAATGAGCCTTCTTTATCCGTGGTGAGATTTCGTCAGCAATCAACCCGTTGGGGCTGGCTGATGCAACTTCCCAGATAAGTGACAAATAGCCTAGATGCTGTGAAAGCACACACAAATAAACAATCGCGACGTTTAGGGTCACAATTCACCAGGAGAGATGACTAATAAACTCGTGGAGAAATATAAAAGTTCACTTCAATTCCTATTGAAGTATGCGCGCTGAGGATATTGCCTGTTTAGTAGGAGGGCATTAATGAAGGAAGCATCGTAAATAAACCACCATCCATCCAGCTAGCTAGCTAGCTCAGAGAACACAATTACATCAAAAGTTAAGTTTGTTCAACACATTCTTCTTAACTTTATTTAATGGGTTGGTATTTATGAACTGGAGTGTGTAGATTACGGGAGTCACTTGTGATAACAACAACTACAACGCCGATAACAACAACAACAACAGAGCTATCCAGTGTGGGATTATTATGTATCATGTTATTCTAAAATAGTCTATTTGTTCACAATACATGATGATGTGATTAAAAAACGTTTTTTAATCCCTTACATCCCTAGTGGAACAAAGAGCTTTAAGCTAGATAGGGCTTTGACATTTCGGTAGCAGTGGTGTTCATTTTTTATGGGATGGGGTTGCTAGCCTCATGCCCAACTTTCCCTCTTTAATAGTCTTATTACTGGATTAGCAAGGTAAAGAAGTGCATCGGCCAGGAACCGAAACCGTGACCATTTGCGTGGCTGGCTAGCATTCTACCGCTGTGCCACCTATGCTAAACATTATCAGGGCGGGGGACACGCATATAGCACACAGCCTTCTTCAAACCTTGCAGACAACCATTACGTCGCGTACTATCCCATCGTCCTCGGTGGATATGGCAACAAAAGTCCCGAGAGAACACGAACAAAGCGAATGACAGGTTAGATATCCCTGATGGTGGAATGAAAGACTGAGAAACTATCCCCTTACTGAGTGAATATTTTATTAAAAGATGGAACACATCATGTTTTGATCTTTTTTATTTTTTATTATTTATTTTGAAGTTAATATTACTCTCGTAACGCAACGGAAAACTCAGTGAAGTGTGCCTTTGAAGTGACTACAGGAGGAAGAAAAGTCTGGTTGACTGACTGGCTGGCTGCGTGTTATCACCAACGATGATATTCCCAGTTGTGGTGGACTGGATTACGCGTCAGACTGTGATTTGAGAGTGAGTGGGTGAGTGAGAAGAGAGGAATACACTGCACTAACCGATAAAAAGACTTTAGAAGATGTGGATTTCGAGTATGGATGGTTTATGTCTTTGAATGTCCCACAGATACTTACTCGAAGATTTGCAGGTAGGCAGGCGGAAGCTGGCAACAAACTGGATGAACTTGCTAGCTGACTGGCTAGCTAGAAGCAAAGACAGGACTGCATCCAGATGGACATAGAGAAGACGGAGACTGAGATGGTAAAGGTAACCGATCAACCAACGAATCAACGAACAGCAACAACAACAACAACAAACAAACTACCAAAGAAAGTTCATGCAATTCTTCACATTAATAAACCTGAACAAAGTAAGAAGAACATTTGTAGCAGGAAATAATATGAGCTCATCTTTTATTATTTAATCGAGGATTCTTCTCAACTGGTTACAACTTTTCCATGATCATAAGGAGTAATTGGTAGAAATTAAAAGTATCATCAGCCAGGAATGATTTACCGAATAAAGACAAATTAGGCCTCTGCAAGAACTTGATAGGAATAGTGCTCTCGTTCTCCCCAATTCAAAATAATTAGTTGCGTCATCCTGGTAAGACTGAAAGATGCACTGGATGCATGTGGGTACAGAGCTACAGCCTGTAAAAGCTGGATTCCGGGACATCAACGCACTTGCGAAAGAAATTTTAACACTTTGAATCGTCATCAAACATAGCCTGCAACTGCAGTTAACTCTCTGCCTCACTTATTTTTTTTTGATTTACAGCTTGATTCCACACTGTATTTTTGGCACAAGTATGGAATTTTCAGCATGGATATCGGTAGCCCAAATTTCCCAGGCCGACCATAGATATCAGGTGTGCGTCGGTGAGGGCTCGAACCCCGGACCATGTGCATGGTCGGCGAGAGTCCTAACCACTGTGCCACCGACGCATAGACTCTGATTAGGACTTTGACAGGAGTGATCATGAATTAGCTTGTAAACTACTCCAGCCCTATTATTTATTATTATTGCTCCTTTGCGTTCCAAGTGGAACGCAGCACTGGCTTCAACAACACATCTTCACTTCGTTCTGTTTTCTACCGTCCTCCTCTTCAGCTGGCTAGCTCCATGATTGACCAGACTCTCTCTCATCTCTTCCTACAACTCACGCACACGATCTCCTCCATGTCACAGTAGCATCGACGACCCACTCGTCTGTCGCTTCCCATTTCCACTCCACTCGAGTCATGAATGGCCTGCATTGCATGCGATGTAATTTGGCGGTCTTCTCAATGTGTACGCCCGATTCATCCATCCATCCATCCATCGCCATTTTCTCCTACATATTTGTTGAGCGGTGATCGGCTCTTCGTTGATTGGTTTGTACCAATGCATAGTCTCTTGTTATTTCCCCTCTTTCTGACCGGCTGGCGATTTGTATATGTAGGCAGTCAGCGAAGGTGGCAGCTGTTGATAAAAGTCTGAAACAAGCTGTGGGAATTTAATCCTTTCCGTGACAGGCTGGCCAAGTTTCTGACACGTATATAAGCAGTGACCGACTTCACATTGTTCTTGAAAATGCGAATCTTGTTCCTCAAGTTGAGTGACATCGGAAAATTTCGAAACTGGTTTCATGTCGATGAAGGCGTGCGTATCTTGCCTTTCTCATTATGACTGGCATTGACATCATCATCATCATCAATTTCGCCTGTAGCTGAAACGATGCTTCCTAACCATATAAGTGAAGGAAGTAACCTCTGTTAAATCTCTCCTGTTCATGGTATTTGGTGCTGGTTGTTGTTACTTAGCCTTATGGAGTTCCCCAAACCTTCATAAACCTCATACAAAAGTTATATGATGGTGCTACACATGTGACGAACCTCGCTTAGATTACTAACTCGCTAGTTTTCTTGCCGATCCGAAGCCCGGATAAACAGGGAGGGTTGGGGCGTAGTGCTAGCAACTCCACCCCTGTAAAACAACCAAATCGTTACAGAAACTTCAACGCACAAATATATTAAAAATTCTAAAAATATAAACAATAACCTTATTTTTCGCTGAAATCGGGGAAGTGAAATGACGCAGGGTGGTGAAAGCCTCTGGGAAGCCAGTCAGTCAATGTGCCACCTTTCGATGAAAGCAAAAGTAGGGATGGGGACGTGGAATGTTCGTAAAATGTACGAAACTGGAAAGGCTGCCCAGATAGCCCCTGAAATGAGAAGGTATGGAATAGAAGTGTTGGGAATCTGCGAAAGCAGACGGAACGGAACTGGAAGGTGTCAACTACCAACTGGAG